GAGTAAAAACTGAGTAATAACCGAAAAAAAATATTCAAGAGTGCGAAAATGACAATTTCGAATTGTAACTAAAGAAGTGGTTGCATTTTATCTGTATTGTTTTTTTTTCTTATACGGTTCAGCGAGCTCTCAGCCCTCCCCATGTTAAGTGGTTACTGGAGCCAACAGACTGGTATACCGTGAGCACCATCAACCACCCTATGAGATGAGGTCTATAATAAAATCTCAACTGTACAACATAATAATACCCAAAGCCCAAAACTTCAACCCGGAATGAACTAGTGTTTCACGACTCAAATGAGCAATACGGGCGTCAGACATGAATTAATCAAATTTTAATAACAATTAATCAATTTATATAGCTATGAGAGAATTAAAACTACTAAAGTAATATTAAATGTAAGTTGGATTATATATGTACATAATCCAACACATATACATATATGTTTATACTCACAACCATTGGCAGCGTTCACTATGCGTAGTCTGTGGTAGGATGAAAGTCTGCCAAAACTAAGAACATGTGCATACTTTGAATATATTTTTGCGAAATAACAACGAAAGGAAGATGTTCCACCGAGAGGTTAATATTGTATTGTATCGGTAGAGCGACAGTCCAGATAGTATTATTCGGAACTTGTGAATATGTAAACTTACCATGAAAATGTCGCTAGCGAGATTTAGACATCTGTGAAATATTTGTGTTGTGATAGCCACTCGTTGCATATTTTATCGTAAATTTTTCTATACAATATAATTAAATCATGATAATAAGCATGCATATTAACTACCTTGTTTTTTGTTAATTTGGATAGGTAAAATATACGCTGATCCACTCAGATCCACATACATATTGTTGAAATTAACAAACAATTTAACCGAATTGTAAATTTTTAAACTAATTCCTGGTAACATTACAAATAACGCGCCATGCATATGGCGGACGCGTCGCGTATCAAGTATTCTATTCCTTCATAAACAGAATAAACCTAATATATTCCACCTGTGATCAATAATAGTTAAAAATATATTACAGTCTATATCATTTACATGAAATATTTCAAAAACAAACGGTTTTAATACGTATTGAACTAGTCAACGTCCATTTTACGTGAATTGGTTCATTAAAATTAAAATGGACAGAGTTCATTCAGTAAACTCTGACGAAGAGAGTGACCGAACCGACTTTGAAAGCGACGTCGAAAACATAAATATCAGGTAAGTAATCATAGGTACTTGGGATAAATCGAATACTATGATATTAATCGGAAGCTCTAGGTATCTAAAATTTTACGGATATCTAATATCTACTAACATACGTAATTTCGCGTACTACATAATATTTATAGCACAACGAAAGAAATGGCATGGTACTATGTATTTGATGAAGAATTACTTTCCTTATTTCATAAAAAGCTGAGATAATAACACATTTGATACTACACAGCAACTTGATATCGGCAATATCATTGTTTAAATAGTGGATTTACGTAAAGTTTTTTAATGATTTCGTGTTAAGGAGCAATTTTACGAAGCAAACATTATACCTACGAATTAGTTCGAGTTGTTCTCCGTGGTGTTAATATTGTTGAAAAATACCGTATAGTTTGTTGGTGGTCTTCTGTAGTTTTGTCATTACGTTTTAAATTCTGGATACTAGCTATTGAAACGACACGGGACTTTGACTACATAATATTATTATAGTAATGATATGTGTAAAATGAACTAATAATCTGCCACTAACACACCAGAGTAGAGGGCGACTATGAGATTTTTTTCCCCCTACCTATGCTGATAGCCTTGAGAGGCTATTTCAGGACTCTCGGGGCTCAAAGCTGGATGTGTTGCTAGCACTGGCCCTAGCAAGAGCAGTGCTTCGCAGAATCTACCACCGGATCGGAAACGCGACCCACTGAGAAGATCCGGCGAGAAACTCAGTGGGCTGTGTCTGTGGGTTAAATATGAGACCAATGATGGTGGTCCATTCAAACATTATATACTTACAAATTTATCAATGATCACGTGTTTTTTTTTTTTCTCATATCTCTTGTACCATTAAACTGTAATCTACCAGAATGTTACAAAAACATACATATCGATGAATTTTTGTGTATTTTTAGAAATCCTTGTAGGATAAAAAAGAACATTTCCGAACATAAAATTACAGTGATAATAAATATGCAATAAATTAATGAGTAAACTTAATATTATTACGAATGTTGTGATTTAGTGCCATTTACTTTATAGACATAATGTGTACATTTCACATATTTTGTCATATAACAAAAAAAATTGGTAAAGTTGTATGGTTTACAGAAAAAATAATAAAATTTCAATCTGAGGTCTTAATTTCTGTAAATGAGACATCAATAATGCTGTATTTACATTTTCAATACAAATTTATACTTTATTCTCCAAATTAATATCTTGGAACAAACTTATAGAAGTTATTAACTATGTGGTCATAAAGTAAAACCCAGATATTGTTATCAGTTCACAGACATCCACTAGTGGACACAGGTCTACTCCCAAGACCAGCCACAGTGTCTGAGCGTGGGATTCCTTACTTCTTACTCTTATAACATTTTTTTTTAATTTGGGTTAATAACTGTACCTTCAATAGTTTACCAGTTTCAAATAATGGTTTTAAGGCATCAAATTAAAGTATTCAAATAATTTCAGTCACCAACGCTGCTAAACAACCCGCCATGAACAAGATTGCCGTTTTAAATGTCAGTACCATCGACATTAACAGTACCAATGAAGCTCATTTAAAAGTTCACCCTAAATATGTACCGTCATAGACATCCCACAATTTTCTGTAACTATAGATAAATGTCAAAAGAACATACCAGTATTAGTTTGCAGCACTCCAATTTTTTTTTTATTGCCCGTGTAGGCAGACGAGCATACAGCCCACCTGATGGTGAGTGGTTACCGTCGCCCATGGACTTCAGCAATGCCAGGGGCAGAGCCAAGCTGCTGCCTACCGCTTAATACTCTCCACAAGCCTCGTTTGAAGAAGGACATGTCATAGCGCTCGGGAAACACTGTGGAGGGGAGCTCATTCCATAGCCGGATGGTACGTGGCAGAAAAGACCTCTGGAAACGCACTGTGGATGACCGCAGTGGCTCCAGGTAGTATGGATGAACTCTACTCCGGTGGCAGGCGGTATACCCAAGTTACTGGTCAAAATTATGGTATCGAGGGCTGACATGGTATTTTGTAAGCAACATTTTTGCAACTTTATAGGAGAGCCATTTAAAGTTTAAAATTTGAAAAAACAATATCATATCAAAAAAACTTCTCTTTTATTTTACTGCTTAGATGGGTGGACGAGCTCACAGCCCACCTGGTGTTAAGTGGTTACTGGAGCCCATAGACATCTACAATGTAAATGCGCTACCCACCTTGAGATATAAGTTCTAAGGTCTCAGTATGGTTACAACAGCTACCCCACCCTTCAAACCGAAACGCATTACTGCTTCACGGCAGAAATGGCGGGGTGGTGGTACCTACCTGTGCGGACTCACAAGAGCTACCACCAGTGATTACGCAAATTATAATTTTGCGGCTTTGATTTTTATTACACGATGTTATTCCTTCACCGTGGAAGTCAATCGTGAACATTTGTTAAGTACGTATTTCACTAGAAAAATTGGTACCCGCCTGCGAGATTCGAACACCGGTGCATCGCTACACACGAATGCACCGGACGTCCCATAACGCCGTATAAAACTATGAACAACTATTTTCTGGCATATTACGATGACTATTGAATTTTTTAACATAATAATATGTCAAGTACATTTTTATTTATTTATCAGTGAGCTTAGTGCGACATTTTTAACGCTCTCGATAGCGTAAAAGTTAGGTAACTCACTTTGTATGAAACGGGATCGTTTACCTACGTTTGCCGCTAGGGGCGCTGTTCCAACTGCATACAATTTTGAGCTAACGTTTACGCTATCGAGAACGTTAAAAAACTCGCACTAAGCACACTGGTGTGTGGACGAGCTTACAACCCACCTGGTGTTATTTGGTTGCCGGAGCCCATAGACATCTACAACGCAAATGCCGCTACCCACCTTGAGATATGAGTGCTAAGGTCTCGGCATAGTTAGTACATATTTCATTAGCAAGATTGATTCCTGTACGATTTGAATACTATATTCGCAGCGCTTAATAGAGATAAATCGATGGTTTTGCTGCCCACCTTTTTTTTTTTATTTTTTTTTTATTGCTTAGATGGATGGACGAGCTCACAGCCCACCTGGTGTTAAGTGGTTACTGGAGCCCATAGACATCTACAACGTAAATGCGCCACCCACCTCGAGATATAAGTTCTAAGATCTCAGTATAGTTACAACGGCTACCCCACCCTTCGAACCGAAACGCATTACTGCTTCACGGCGGAAATAGGCGGGGNCAAAGGCAATAAAAAAAAAAAAGGTAAGTTGGATTATATATGTATATTATATACACAACACATATATTATTATATACATATATGTTTATACTCACAACCATTGGCAGCGTTCACTATGCGTAGTCTGTGGTAGAATGAAAGTCTGCCAAAACTAAGAACATGTGCATACTTTGAATATATTTTTGCGAAGTAACAACGAAAGGAAGATCTTCCACCAGGAGGGTAATATTGTTCGGTAGAGCGACAGTCCAGATATTATTATTCGGAACTTGTGAATATGTAAACTTACCATGAAAATGTCGCTAGCGAGATTTAGACATCTGTGAAATATTTGTGTTGTGATAGCCACTCGTTTCATATTTTATCGTAAATTTTCCATACAATATTATTAAATCATGATAATAAGCATGCATATTAATTACCTTGTTTTTTGTTAATTTGGATAGGTAAAATATACGCTGATCCACTCAGATCCACATACATATTGTTGAAATTAACAAACAATTGAACCGAATTGTAAATTTTTATACAAATTCCTGGTAACATTACAAATAACGCGCCATGCATATGGCGGACGCGTCGCGTATCAAGTATTCTATTCCTTCATAAACAGAATAAACCTAATATATTCCACCTGTGATCAATAATAGTTAAAAATATATTACAGTCTATATCATTTACATGAAATATTTCAAAAACAAACGGTTTTAATACGTATTAAACTAGTCAACGTCCATTTTACGTGAATTGGTTCATTAAAATTAAAATGGACAGAGTTCATTCAGTAAACTCTGACGAAGAGAGTGACCGAACCGACTTTGAAAGCGACGTCGAAAACATAAATATCAGGTAAGTAATCATAGGTACTTGGGATAAATTGAATACTATGATATTAATCGGAAGCTCTAGGTATCTAAAGTTTTACGGATATCTATTATCTACTAACATACGTAATTTCGCATACTACATAATATTTATAGCACAACGAAAGAAATGGCATGGTACTATGTATTTGAAGAAGAATTACTTACCATAGTTCATAAAAAGCTGAGATAATATAACATTTGATACTACACAGCAACTTGATATCGGCAATATCATTGTTTAAATAGTGGATTTACGTAAAGTTTTTAATGATTTCGCGTTAAGGAGCAATTTTACGAAGCAAACATACCTACGAATTAGTTCAACAGAGTTGTTCAGCGTGGTGTTATTATTGTTGAAAAATACGGTATAGTTTGTTGGTCATCTTCTGTAGTTTTGTCATTTTACGTTTTAAATTCTGGATACTAGCTAATGAATCGGCACGGGACTTCGACTACATAATATTATCATAGTAATGATATGTGTAAAATGAACTAATAATCAGCCACTAACACACCCGACTAGAGGGCGAAGGTCTCAACCTTTTTTCCCTACCTATGCTGATAGCCTTGAGAGGCTATTTCAGGACTCTCGGGGCTCAAACCTGGTTGTGTTGCTAGCACTGGCCCTAGCAAGATTAGTGCTTCGCAGAATCTACCACCGGATCGGAAACGCGACCCACTGAGAAGATCCGGCGAGAAACTCAGTGGGCTGTGTCTGTGGGTTAAATATGAGACCAATGATGGTGGTCCATTCAAGCATTATATACTTACAAATTTATCAATGATCACAGTTTTTTTTCTCATATCTCTTGTACCATTAAACTGTAATATAACAGAGTTATAAAAACATACATATCGATGAATATTAGTTTATTTTTAGAAATTATTTTATGATAAAAAAGAACATTTCCAAACATAAAATTGCAGTGATAATAAATATGCAATAAATTAATGAGTAAACTTAATATTATTACGAATGTTGTGATTTAGTGCCATTTACTTTACAGATATAATGTGTACGTTTTACATTTTTATCATATAACAAAAAATTTAGGTAAAGTTGTATGGTTTAAGTAAATGCTTTACAGAAAAAATAACACATGGGTGTGAAGAAATGTATGTATGAAAAATTGCAAAAATTTATGAATTTCAATTTGTGGTCTTAATTTCTGTAAATGAGACATTAATAATCCTGTATTTAAATTTTCAATACAAATTCATATTTTTTTTCTCTCCAAATTAATCTCTTGGAACAAACTTATAGAAGCTATTAACTGTGACAATATCTGGGTTTTATTTTTACTCTTACTGCTAACAGTTTACAGACATCCACTAGTGGACATGGGCCCACTCCTAGACCAGCCACAGTGTCCGAGCGTGGGATTCCTTACTTCTTGATTGAATAATTGAAGCTTCTATACTTTACCAGTTTCAAATAATGGTTTTAAGGCATCATATTAAAGTATTCAAATAATTTCAGTGACCAACGCTGCTCAAATAATTTCAGTGACCAACGCTGCTAAACAACCCGCCATGAACAAGATTGCAGTTTGAAATGTCAGTACCGTTGACATTAACAGTACCAATGAAGCTCATTTAAAAGTTCACCATAAATATGTACTGTCAAAGACACTCCACAGCTTTTTGTAACTGTAGATAAATGTTATCAAAGATACCAGTATTAGTTTGCAGCACTCAAATTTTTTTTTATTGCCCGTGTAGGCAGATGAGCATACGGCCCACCTGATGGTGAGTGGTTACCGTCGCCCATGGACTTCAGCAATGCCAGGGGCAGAGCCAAGCTGCTGCCTACCGCGTAATACTCTCCACAAGCCTCGTTTGAAGAAGGACATGTCACAGCGCTCGGGAAACACTGTGGAGGGGAGCTCATTCCATAGCCGGATGGTACTTGGCAAAAAAGACCTCTGGAAAGGCGCTGTGGATGACCGCAGTGGCTCCAGGTAGTATGGATGAACTCTACTCCGGTGGCGGGCAGTATTCCCAGGTTCAGGGTCAAAATATGGTATCAAGGGCTGAAATGATATTTTGTTTAAGAAACATTTTTGCAACTTTATAGGAGAGCCATTCAAAGTTTAAAATTTGAAAAAAACAATATCATATCAAAAAAACTTCACTCTTTTTATTTATTTATTGCTTAGATGGGTGGACGAGCTCACAGCCCACCTGGTGTTAAGTGGTTACTGGAGCGCATAGACATCTACAATGTAAATGCGCCACACACCTTGAGATATAAGTTCTAAGGTCTCAGTATAGTTACAACGGCTACTCCACCCTTTAAACCGAAACGCATTACTGCTTCACGGCAGAAATGGCGGGGTGGTGGTACCTACCTGTGCGGACTCACAAGAGGTCCTACCACCAGTGATTACGCAAATTATAAAATTTGCGGGTTTGATTTTTACTACACGATGTTATTCATTCACCGTGGAAGTCAATCGTGAACATTTGTTAAGTACGTATTTCATTAGATAAATTGGTACCCACCTGCGGGATTCGAACACCGGTGCATCGCTACATACGAACGCACCGGACGTCTTATCCTTTAGGCCACGACGACTATTAATGTTTTCCCGGTACTTTCTTGATTGAGTTATATATTGTTTTACGCCGTATAAAACTATGAACAACTATTTTCTGGCATATTACGATGACTATTGAATTTTTTAACATAATAATATGTCAAGTACATTTTTTTTTATTTATCAGTGAGCTTAGTGCGACATTTTTAACGCTCTCGATAGCGTAAAAGTTGGTAACTCACTTTGTATGGAATGGGATCGTTTACCTACGTTTGCCGCTAGGGGCGCTGTTCCAACTCCATACAATTTTGAGCTAACGTTTACGCTTTCGAGAACGTTAAAAAACTCGCACTAAGCACACTGGTGTGTGGACGAGCTTACAACCCACCTGGTGTTATTTGGTTGCCGGAGCCCATAGACATTTACAACGCAAATGCCGCTGTAGCGTGCAACACTCGGTCGCACTCGGGCGTCATCGGATGCGATCGGGGTTCCCGAACGCGCAGGTGTCCCGTGACGTCATGCTACGAGATTCGCGCGCGTCGATTTAAGTTGATTGTAAAACGTATTATAATTTTAGTTTTAATTTGTGCCTTGTAGTGCCTAGCAACTTGTTTACTCTTTTTACTTTATAATAGAACATTGTACACATATTACATTATATATATTGTTAAATTGGTGTGTTTGACTTTTATGTGTTCGGGGCATAATATCCCGAGAACACAAATAACAAACCACACCGCCATCCACCTTGAGATATGAATGCTAAGGTCTCGGCATAGTTAGTACATATTTCATTAACAAGATTGATTCCTGTGCAATTTGAATACTATATTCGCGTCACTTAATAGAGATAAATCGATGGTCTTGCTTCATCGTCGCCTAGGAATGAATTCAAAGAAAAACACTGATAACAACTATCCTCTAACTATCTATCTCAACAGAGTAGTTGGGGAATTAAATAATTTGCACAACAAGTATTCTCTGGACGTTTTTGCTGGCACTGCTGTTTTTGCAGCCTTGCACAATGAGTGTTTTCAATTAAGTAATAGCGTATTTGGTAGTAAATGTGTAATAATGTGAGCTCTTCATGTAATGTTATATATAGTTTTTTTTGTTTTTTTATATAATGAACCGCTTTTTTTTCAATGCATGCAGTCGGTACCTGTAATTGTGTTAGCATTTAGTGTGAAATCAATGTATATGATACCTGTAATGTTCTGTGCTGATGTATAACATGTGGGTCCCAATAAATAAAATAAATAAATATCTTAGATGCTAATGATTGGTGGTGGAAAACTTTCTTGAAACTCAAGTCGATCTTTCTACAGTCCTTTATATTTATTATGATCACGTAATACTTATATCTGATTTAGTAGTATTTGCATATCTCGTAGCAGACGAGAGCATACGACTCACCTGATGATAAATGGTTACCTCCGCTCGTGGACTGACGTTAGGTCATGGATAATGAGCTCATGAGCTTATGGATTATGTGTTTCACCACTATTTACACATTTGGTAATGATAATGATCCTTAGCTTTTCGCTGATTCTTAGTGATGAAAGTGCATTCCAAAGCAGTGCTAAAAGCCATCCTGGCTGAGCTTTTGCTCACCCGCCTGTCCTGGTGAAACTGGAAGGCCTCCCTCAATCATAAAAAAATGGTGCTAAAAATGGTGACGACATTTTTTATATTTTTTAATTTATAATATCAAGGACAGAAATTTTTACAAGTAATATTACATATCAGGTATCTTAATCTAGAGCCCAGGGTCTCCGGTAACCCCTTAAAACCAGATGCACCATGAACTCCGCTCAAGACTTGACCTCAAGTTTTCGATGGTCGAAGGTCAGCCTGTCTGGACTCTGATAGCATATAACATTATAAGGCGGTTGCTTTTTTTCATAGCAGTGCGGAAAAGACCTCAAGACGGACAAGTCAAGCATGGAAATATTTTGGGATTTTAGACGAGGCCAAGTGTTTGGCGCGCTGCAACCTTTGCCTGAGCGTTATGTCATTCCGGACGTCAGTGTCAAACTTAATGAAACATGTCAAGACGAAGCATCCGTTCGCACACAGCCAAATGAAAAAGGAGATTGCCAATAGTGAGAAGTAAGTCGGTTTAGCATGCAGGTTTCATGGAAAAAATACACGCTTGCCAAGCTTAATAGGGCAGCCCTAAAGTAAACGATAAAAATACACTTTAAACTTGAGTTTGGCATGAATTTAGAATTTTAATAACGCTAATTGAACTCTGAGGCGGCAGTAGAAAGTAATCAAAAGTGTGTAGATAGCTCCTTCAACGTTTTTATTGCTTAGACGAGGGAATGAGTTGCTTGCTCCGGGCATTTCAATATTGTAATAATTGTTATGTTATAATACTCATTGTAAAAATGAATATTAAAAAAAAATCTAATATAAAAAAACATCTAATATTAAAAAAAAAAAAGACATGCCCGCTGAGTTTCTTGCCAGTTCTTCTCAGGACGGAGGCTAGTTCTTGTGAATTGGCGGTAGTTCTTTTGACGTTCAACAAGTATGTACTTTCATTTATGTTCAATAATTTTTTTTTGATTTGATTTAATTTGATTGGATTTGATTTGAACGAACTCGCGATCCACGATATCACGACGCGATTATAGCCAGCCCCCTTAAAACAAGAGGTCCAAGTCTCGCAAGATTCCCTACAAATTTTCCTTTGAGTAGAAATGTAGTACTTATGTGTCCTTGAATTTCATTCGATAAGAAACCTGGACCCACTGTGAAGATATACGACAAAGGGAAGATCTTCCACCGAGCGGATGATATTGCTCGGTAGACCAACGGTCGTAATGTTGTTCGGAACTTGTATATATGCAAGCTTATCTTGAAAATGTCGTAAGCGAGATTCAGGCATCTGTCAAATATCTTGTGTTCTATGATGGCTAACGCCATACCCATTTTCTTAGAATCATATGACATAGTGCACGGAAAACCATGGTGAAGCGAGTTCGTTGCAATCGTAATCCACAGCGTGACCGCAGACCCCAATAGTGAGGCAGAATGAGGGATCATCTCCAACAATTCCTAGTAGTGTTTACGAGTTAAACGTGCTCACATAAATATAGTTTTATTCCGTATCTTATTTTTTAGATAGGTGGACGAGCTCACAGCCCGCCCGGTGTTAAGTGGTTATTGGGGCCCATAGACATCTACGATGTAAATGCCCCACCCACCTTGAGATATAAGTTCTAAGGTCTCAAGTGTAGTTACAACGGCTGCCCCACCCTTCATACCGAAATGCATTGCTGCTTCACGGCAGAAATAGGCAGGGTGGTGGTACCCACCCGCGCGGACTGACAAGACCTACTGCACGCAGCTCCGGCTACTGTCGACGTTATAAATGTATTCTCTGTATCTCTCGTAGGCGCAGTTCGTACACGGGCATCAATAATATGTTGAAAGAGCAAAAACATGAAACCACGGACGAGGACGGGGTGAGTAGCGGCTCACAGTGGCTGACTAGTGAGCTGTAGTAACACAGACGGCCATTTACCTTGAGAGCGCTCTCTCTCTCTCTCTCACATACACACACACACACAACCTCACGCTTGAAGTGGTTCCCGGAGCCGTTAGAGGCCACAACATAAGCGCCGCTATCGACATGAGGTAAAGGTCATAATAGTATTACATTTTTGTTGCTATTAAGCTTGTAGGCAGCGGCTTGGCTCTGCCCCCGGCATTGCTGACGTCCATGGGCGACGGTAACCACTCACCATCAGGTTGGCCGTAAGCTCGTCTGCCTACAAGAGCCATTAAAAAATTATAAATTAAATTACCCGGCGATTGGTTTTACCATCTCACTTTGCTGAAAACTTCGCTTTTGCGGTGACGTCACAGACAACAGATGTAATTAAACGATACGTAACGACTCAATCTACCCGTAGCCGATGCGGTCGTTGTAAACATACTGTCGGTCTCGTAGTTATGACCGTTTCAAATCTGACGGTTTTTCGTCACATAGCTCAGTTCCATAGATCGATAACAAGTTACCGCATCAAAAAAAACGCGTTCTTTCAGTCGCATAAGTTGTTCATATTTTTTTATTATATTGCAGATAAAGAAAATATTCGTCTCGACCGATGGTAAGGTGTACGAAATCGAGACTGAACAGGGAGATGAATTTTCACAACAAGGACAAATAAACGCGACCAATGAAGTGAGTGTCGTGACACTTGATATATCTTCAATGGTAGGCCTTCAATGGTAGCCAGCGGCTTGGCTCTGCCCCTAGAATTGCTGACGTCCATGAGCGACGGTGACCACTTACCATTAGGAGGGCTCGTCTGCCTACAATGACAATAAAAAAAACCCACTAATAATGAACTTTGTAGTTCATTAAACTCACGTCCCATTTCATGATAAGCTGTAACAATAGTATATCGCCTATCGCAGTCATAGAAACGCATTATTGCTTTGCGTATATAATAGTCGTCATGTAATCGTTGTTGATGTCCATGGGCTTCGGTAACCACTTTAACTCGGGTTGCCATCAGCCGAGTCACCCGCCTGTTTAATAAATAAAACAACTCTAACAAACTAAGCTTTGCCCGGGTGACCTTAAGGATGGGGTAGCCGTTGTAGGTAGGTATACTGAGACCTTAGAACATATATCTCAAAATGGACGGCGCATTTACGTTGTAGATGTCTATGGGCTCCAGTAACCACTTAACACCAGGTGGGCTGTGAGCTCTTCCATACATCTAAGCAATAAAAGAAATATTACTGCTAATTTAGCTTAATATATCCTGCATAATATATTATACATTATATTCATAGAATGAAGAAATAAAATCGATGATGGAACAAATAACCGGCTCGCCGATGAAGAAACGCAAGCGCCCCAAGCACGAGTACATATACGCGGACGTGGAGCCAAAGAAATATCGCACGGAATATTCTAGAAACTACGACGCGAGCGAAAATAAAATTGTTCTGCAGACGCCCGAGGTCATGGACCCCTTGGATCATTTAGCTAAATATCTGATATCGATACTGAAGGATCTGCCCAAGTCCGTATCTAGCGAGTTGCAGCTCAAATTTGTCCAACTAGCCGTCGAAGCGCAGGTCAAATGCGAGAAGGACAAGGATGTTGTGAAGATCAAAATCCCAGATAGTGTTGCGCCTGACGCGGGCGACGAGGCATAACGATAACTTGTTATGTACTAGTAAGTATTAGGTTAAGTAACAGGTGATATTAGGTTGGAAGCTATAACAGATTCATTACTGTAACACGATTTTTAGGAATTAAATAACAGATTATATATAAAGTAATAATTCAATGAATCCTTGTAAAATAGATAGAGAGAAATTGTTAAGTCTAGTTCATATTTAAAACGTTTGTAAATAGTAAATTATAGTTTTTATAGCCTAACAACGAAAGTAAAGTGACCTTTGAATACTTTAAAATATTATTAGCCATTAAATGTGCTTCCTTTTTCCTTATCCAGTAAATTGTAATATTACGTCCGAGATTACAATCTGTATTAGATTAAGAAACATGTACAAAAAGGATATGCCTTTTTTGAAGATAAAATAATACCTAGTATTTCTAGTATTAAGTATTGAATATCGAGTACACATTGACGTATATCAAAAGTATCTAATACCGTTATATTTTATTTATTTCACTACATGTAAAAAATATTCACTAGTTTTGAAAACTATTAAGTGCTAAGCTGACTAAACATTTTCTAAAGATGGACATGCGAAAATCAATATACTTTCTCGTAACCTAGTCTAGCAGATGGTACTATGAGTTGGTAGGCGAAAAAGAAGTGCATTTAAACACAGTTGTGCAAATAAATGAGTTAAAGTAATGAACAAGTTTTCATTTCACCTGACTATTAAATAAGATTCAATAATTAGCTGTATAGTGGCCTCGAAAAAAAAGGGCCTGATCATTTCCTACCTTGGAAGTCAACAAAACAAGTAGAATTCCCCAGAAAATCGGCAGTAGCGTTCTCAGACTATCACTATAATAGTGTATATCTATATATGACTAGCTGACCCAGCAGACTTCGTAGTGCCTCAATCGATAAATAAAAGACGCAAACTTTTGTATAAAATAAACTTAAAACAAATAAAAGGAATCCTTCTCACGGGGGACACATTAAAGGAAAAACAAAATTGTTATTTTTATTTAATTCCGAGCATTTTCATATTTATCTACCTTTTAAACCTTCTCTGGACTTCCACAAATAATTCAAGACCAAAATTAGCCAAATCGGTCCAGACGTTCTCGAGTTTTAGCGAGACTAACGAACAGCAATTCATTTTTATATATAAAATATATAGATATACTTCACACAACAATCGCCAACACGCTTTTTTTATTGGTTAGTTGGGTGGACGAGCTCACGGCCCACCTGATGTTGTGATTGAGATATTAGTTCTAAGGTCTCCGTTTTTACAGCGCAACGGGTGCCCCACCCTTCAGACAGTAATAGGCGGGGTGATGGTACCTATCCGTGCGGACTCACAAGACGTCCTACCCCCAGTAATTACTCAAATTATAATTGTGCTGGTTTGATTTTTATTACACGATGTTATCCCTTCACCGTGGAAGTCAATCGTGAGCATTTGTTAACTACGTATTTCATTAGGAGAATTACCAGCCTGCAGGATTCGAACACCGTTGCATTGCTAGATACGAATGCACTGGACGTCTTATCCTTTAGGCCACGACGGCTTCAGAAAAGCTGATTATGGAAAGCCCACCCTCTAATTAGGAGAATATCTGTCCAACCATGGATGTCTTCGAGCTGATGATGAGTCATTAACGGTATTAAGATAATTATTAAAATTGGAAGCAGAAAGCAATAGTCTTAATTGAAAAACCTTTATTTGAAGTAAGTTAAAAATCATCATAATATTAGTAACAATGTGAACATTGAAATTATTCAATTAGTTATTTAAATATCAAAAGTAAAGTACCAGTCAAAGTAAAGTCAAATACCAATCAGTTACCAAATTTAAAATGAGACCACTTTTTGAGAGTAAGCAATGACTGGTGATCAAAAATAAAAATGAGACAAAGATAAACCCAATTGAGCTTGATTCGTCAGTTATAGTATGAGGCAGTGAAGATTATGGTAAGGTTTACAACAGTTAGATGATATAATTCTTTTTCGAACTCTCAATGTGGATGCTGGCATTTATGTTGTTGTTGTCTATGGAGCCGGTAAGTACTGAACACCAAGTAGACCGTGATGTTTTCCACGGCACCGCAAAGAAAATAAAAATATTACAAAAGATCTAAATTAGTGTTGGGGTACTCCAAAACTTACTATGAAGGATTCTGAAACTTGAATTATAATTATCAATTTCAACAGTTCAGTGTCTGTTGATCAGGAATGAATTAAGGAACTCAAACATATAAATTTTTATTTAGAATTTTGTGGTTTATGTCATCAAATGATTTTGTGCACATATAGCTGCTTCTCAGTGTACATTGTCAACATATAAAGCTCTATATAGCAAACTATCTGAATTATCATATTAATAAATCTTCATTAACACATACATGTTAGACCTCTCGCTAAGCTTTCAATACAGCAAATATAATAAATTAAGTAAGTAAACAGAATGAAGGCCAAGAATCTTGTGTTATATCTGTATCAATACTGAGCTTTTCATATCTTTAATTTGAACTCATTTTGGAGTTTACAATTCGATTGTAAATTGTAGAGACTAGTACTGCAAGAATTCTGCATTACAATGCAGTTATATTCTGAACATTATCAGTCCAGTCTATCTTAGCAATTATTCTTCCTCCACTTACCTTCCAATCATTTAAATACACCAAAAACTCACATTCAATCATATGAATTCCATTATCATTACGCCTTCTCTTAATTTCTTATATTTTCACTCAATGGTTTTTTCCCACAATTTCCCTCTTAAGCCTAGAATCACTATGAAAAAAGAGATATGATGCGGCATTGCACTACGTAACCTGATTAATTAAGTTCATAATTATTTCGTCTGACTTTACATTATTTCTTTCAATCATGTTTAACAGTATATACTTACATTCCTTTCCGCAAATGGAACCGCGAAAACCTGTATGTATTAGTCAAGAGATATTATTTTTTTAAAAGGTCTCATCTGAAGATTTGTAAATAATTCATTTTTTTAAGGAGGTACATAACCTTCTTAGTAATNGTATTCCATTGGCAGTCACAAAACTCTTCGGAACGACATCTTAGATAAATAACAGGTTAACTATTAACCTTTATTTAATGCAGGTTTTGAACCGTATTCTTTGAAGGAGACGATTATATTCAAATCAATCTGAATTGACATATCAATAAAAAAATTTTGTCCAAATGCACAGATTGCCACCTTTGATAATAGACGACTCATGTATAACAAATAGTATATATATACTTACATTTCTTTTTCGCAAAATGAACCGCGAAAACCTGTATGTATTAGTCAAGAGATATTATTTTTTTAAAAGGTCCCATCTGAAGATTTATAAGTAATTCATTTTTTTAAGGATGTACATACATAACCTTCTTAGTAATTATTGTTTACTACCACTTTTAATGTTTATTAGCATTTTGATTAGGTGATACGTATTTTCATGAACTGTGTTTTTGTGAACTGTATTTTGATGAACATTTCTACTTGAATTAAACATTTAATGCAATAGAAGTGAAGTGCAATCAAATGTTTTGTTTTACAAATTACAGTGGTTAAGCTATTGTTAAGCTAATAATAGTAAATGTAGGCGTTTAAACGAAAAGCTATTAAAAAAGTCTGCTGTTCCAAAAAGTTTAATAAATACTTTTGTTTGTTACTCTGATAATGTAAAAATTATTTCGATTTGGAAAACTTACGTAGCTATTATTGTATTTTGCAAATCAATATAATTTCAACTCGCAGAAGTTAAGCATGTCGTTGTAATTGAAAAATAGCTTTATCTACACTCAAATAAGATTCATCTGAAACTGGCATTAGATAGTACTAAGCGACCAAATTAGGTTTCCTTTATTTCGTAACCATTTGTTTGACTAGAGCTACGTTCTTATTTCTTCAGTCCTCCCTTCGTTTAAACGGTTCGCGTCTGTACAAGCAAGACAACGCTAGTATGCTTTTCGCTGCTAAGCAAGTAGCTACAAGCGTGTGTTTTTAAGTGTATTGTGGTAATAATTTACAGGGCATTACGTTGGTAAAGAGCGTGCGCTTTGATTCTGTTACTATAAAATTGGTTTAGTTCACAGTGAAATGAGTGTTGTGGAAATAATAAAATTATAGGATAGTAAAATACAGCCAATTCATTAGCAATTCAGTGTAAATTAGTGTCATGTTTGACATTAAATAGGTATTTACGGTCTTGACGTCGGCAGGCCTGATGTGACCAAGTTCAAAATTAAATGTTACTTTTTCAGTCACTATCATAGAATTATACGCAGAAACAGAATCTTTTAAAAATTTCAAATAATCTTTTAGCTTTGCTTATGGCATAAATGTGAAAACGTCCCGGAATATCTTGGTAAAATAAAATAAACTTCAGAGAATCGTAAATTTCAATCATTTTCGAAAACTAATGGCAGTTATTACTGTTAGGGACAAGTCGAAAAAGATATGATTTTCGTGATACTTGGGAGGCTGGTTACGAAAACGACAACCGTTCTAAAATCTATATCAGTCTAAATTTGAACAACAGTGACTTTAGTTTAATTGTTAAAATAAAAAAAAACAGCATTATAAACGTCTAATATAACAAAGTGAAAATGTCAAGAAGCGGCAATTGTTTGATTTGGGACTATTTCCAAAAGAATCAGGAGGATAAAATCGCCGAGTGCAATATATGCTTGAAGAGTTTATCGTACAAGACGACGATTACAAATCTAAAACAGCACTTAAGACTCAAACATAAGAGCGCTTTTAAGGAACTCGTCTCCCGGGGTCCGTGGTACCGGGGCAAGTCCGCAGCCGCGCGCTCGAAGGCTTCGTGCACGTCAACACTAGGTAACCTGCATGGCAATAACACTGATAATGACTGAGGTGAACTGAGGCCTTCAAATATTGTGTCTGGACGATGTAGGGCGCTCGCGTCTGATTTAAAAAGAAGCAGCAAAGCTCTGTCCGATATTTTATTAGCAATACTATCGAAGGTCGTCGTGGCCTAAATACGAATCGAGAAGAGCTCGACTAGCGAACTAGGCCATAGACATCCTTACTGGTGGTAGGACCTCTTGTGAGTCCGCACGGGTAGGTACCACCACCCTGCCTATTTCTGCCGTGAAGCAGTAATGCGTTTCGGCTTGAAGGGTGGGGCAGCCGTTGTAACTATACTGAGACCTTAGAAATAATATCTCAAGGTGGGTTCTACGTTCTAGATGTCTATGGGCTCCAGTAACTAATTAACACCAGGTGGGCTGTGAGCTCGTCCACCCATTTAAGCAATAAAAATAAAATAAAATAAACTCATCAGCGGGTCGCGATTTCAATGCCGTGGTAGATTCAGGAAAGTTATTCTCTTAATACAGAGCCAGTGTTATCAGCTCCTTCTAGAGTGAGGCCTGTGAGCTTACCTACCCGTTCACGCGAAGCTATCACAGCCCCTTATGCTACCAACGATTAGGTAGTGAAAGAAAAAACCAAAGACGACCGGTGGACTGATATGAAGTAATCTCGCGGGCTGGTACCCATCACTGTAATGAAATAAATCCTTAACACGTGTTCACGAAGGCAAATGAAACCCGCCAAATTTGTAAATACTCGGTAACGGCTGGTGAGATCGTACCGTAATGTCTAGTGGAGTTGCTCGATAGACCAGACACTAACGAAAGACCCACCACGAGCGCCTAAGGAATTGGAGCGGCGCTAATCAATCAAGGAAGATACACGGTCAATCGAATGGTACTTGGAACAAATTTAAACTGTTAGTCCAATGCCGATGATTGCAGCAGCCCCAAACACCATAGATCATCATCCTCTCCGCTGACCTATGAGGAAATCATAAGACGTAGTCTTCTTTTTCTCCACCTTATCCCACTAGGTGGGGTCGACCCAGCTAATTTTTCTCTTCTATTCTCTTCTATCAGCCGTCATCTCAACACTCACTCCTCTCTCTCTGGTATCGTCATTAGCACACTCCATCCATGTCTTCTTCGGTCGACCTCTTCCCCCTCTACCTTGCACTACTATTTCCATACATCTCCTAGTCACATGCATCTTCTCTCCACGCATCACATGTCCACACCACGCTAACAGTCCACTCTTTAATTTGTTGCTTACCGGGCCTACTTTCACACTTCCTCTGATATACTAATTTTAGTAGTAGTTGTACGACTATTTAAAGGTGATAATTAATTCCGACAGATACCGACTCTGACAGCATGGAAGTAAGCGAAATAGACTTGTGGTGTCACTTCGAGCAGGAGACGGGCGGCCGCGCGCGGTGCAGACACTGCCACCAGTCCCAGGACATCGGCGAGATGGAGAAGCACCTGATAAAAGCACACTACGAAGTTTTCGAGGACGAGGCCCAGGTACGGATGTTATAGTACTGTAGGTATACGACGAAGGGAAGATCTTCCACCGAGCGTGTGATATTGCTCGGCAGACTGACGGTCCTAATGTTGTTCGGAACTTGTCTTGAAAATGTCATAAGCGAGATTCAGGCATCTATCAAATATCTTGTGTTCTGCCATGGCTACCGCCGCAGTGCCGTCTCTGGATTCCCCAAGCCGGAGACAAAGTTAAAACTACTCCTCTTCTAAGTCGGACGCTCTGGTCAGAGTGATCGTGGTTGCGCTGATCATGTGCACGTAGAAGCATGCGTTATATACCCAATGTTGAAGAGGAATGCCTCCCTGGGAATGCGCTTCCAGGTGTGGGGGCTCGAAGCGTCTCGACTATACTGCGCCGTGGTGGACTCGCTCGCTCTCTTTATTAGGTCAGTCCAGCGGGCTGGGAATCGGCCGCGTCTTCTCATGCCTTGTACTTTTGATTAAAATTGCTAAAACTCTTAACTTGCAGCTGTATTTGTGCTAAGCGAATAATACCTGTTTATTACCGTGGTCCAGATTCACGAGACGAAGTTACGTGATACATTTTTTTTAACCTACCTATGCTGATAGCCTTGAGAGGCTATATCAGCTTTGCTCTATCGTGTAGGTGAGCTCACGGGGCTCAAACCGGAGTGGTGTTAACACTGACCCTAGCAAGAGCAGTGCCTCGCAGAATCTACCACCGGATCGGAAACGCTACCCACTGAGAAGGTCCGCTCAGAAACTCAGTGGGCTGTGTCTGTGGGTTAATTTACTCGTCGAGCCCTTCGTCGCAAGCGACAGGTTCGACGAGAACGATGACTGGTGCTTGAGGTACCTAAAAGCACCGTTAGTGGATNGGAGTGGTGCTAACACTGACCCTAGCAAGAGCAGTGCCTCGCAGAATCTACCACCGGATCGGAAACGCTACCCACTGAGAAGGTCCGCTCAGAAACTCAGTGGGCTGTGTCTGTGGGTTAATTTACTCGTCGAGCCCTTCGTCGCAAGCGACAGGTTCGACGAGAACGATGACTGGTGCTTGAGGTACCTAAAAGCACCGTTAGTGGATCGGGAGGTTCCGAAATGACGTGTTTTGGGCGATGTCGACTGCTTTCCATTCTGTCCGCAGGATCGGGAATGTAGTTACCGGCGGCCACGATGGGTGGGTTCTCGTGTCGTGCCGCTTTGTCGAAGTGGCGTGTCTAAGCTCTCCTTTTTTAATATGCTTTTATTAGCTTCATACGTATGTTAGTATGTAACGGAATCTTTGAACATGGTTTTGACCCCCTTCAAAAGTCGGATTGACTCGAAATTTGGCATACTTATTAAAGACCGATGACAATTCAATATTTTAAACAGTTTGATCCGTTAATCTTACTAGGATAATCAGGATCAGCGAATTTTTGTTTTCCTGAAACCCGGAGTGTCTGCGTCAAGGCCAAGAAGGGAAACTACCAGGCTATATATATAATACACTTTTTTTACAATAAAATCATTTCTTCTTACACTACTATTTTTAATTCAAATTTATTAATAATTAGCGAATTTTTGTTTTCCTGAAACCCGGAGTGTCTGCGTCAAGACCAAGAAGGGAAATTACCAGGCTATATAATAATATATAATACGCTTTTTTTACAATAAAATCATTTCTTCTTACACTACTATTTTTAATTCAAAATTATTAATAATTATTTTCTATTTTTTAGTTGGATTTTCTATAAAAACGTATTTTTTAGTTTTAGTTAAACTATTATTTATTTATATTTCAGTGTAAGCCACTATTGACCGTAATACAAATAATATCTAAAAAATATTCAAAGTCACTAATCGAAACCAGATGTTGTTGGAATAAGCCTTGAGGCTATCAACGAATCTATAGAAAAAACTGTTCTAGTCATTGATATATAAAAACCCAAGATGCACAGTCTCAAACAAAAGTAGCAATCGAAGCTGTCGCCAAACACTCACCAATTATAGGAGGACTTTTTGGCGGGAACACGAGTAGCGAAGTTGTGTGATTTGTTTAATTTTGTCTATTTAGTGTTTCTTCAGGTTTAAATGTGTAACAACGGTGGTTTATTAACTGTTTAGTATAATATCTGTGAAAGTGCACAAATGTGGGAAAATGAAACAAAGCCGCTGGACGTAACTTCTCGGGATCCTTCATTTTACCGAGATTATATTTCATCCCATATATCTCATCTCGTTTCATTTAATTTCATCCCAGTTGATTAATGTCTCAAATTAATCATCTTCACTTCATTTCATTTCACTCCATATTATCATCTATGCTTACTAGCCTGCACTGAAAGTATCGGGAATGGAATATTTCCACTGTTCCTGTCATACTAAAATCTTTTTAATTGAAAACTCCTTGCCTTTAAAAATCGAATACCATTTATTTATTTAAAAAAAGATTCTCGGTCTTGTCACGAGGTTTTGTCAAACTTGTTTAGTCGTTGAGAAAATGGAATTGAATCGATAAAATTCAAGAGCGATGATTTATTATGACTTTCGAAGTGGTTTAACACAAAAACAGTGTGTTGACCGGATGATTTCTGCATTTGGTGATGAAGCCCCATCCAAAACCACAATTTATCGCTGGTTTGCTGAGTTTCAACGTGGACGTGTCAAGCTCAGTGATGATCCCCGTCAAGGTCGTCCAAAAACTGCAGTCACCCAAGAAAACGTTGATGCTGTGCGTAAGCTGATTGAGGAAGATCGACATGTGACATACCGCGAAATTCAGGCAACTTTAGACATTGGCATGAGTCAAATACAAATAATCTTGCATGAACAATTAGGTGTAAAAAAGTTGTTTTCCCGATGGATACCGCATTCGCTCTGTGAAGAGCAAAAAGCGGCTCGCGTTACTTGGTGCGTCAGAACTCTCGAAAGATTCCACGCAGGATCCTCAAATGCTGTATACAACATTGTATCAGGTGACGAATCCTGGATATACGCGTACGAACCCGAAACAAAAAACCAGTCACGAGTTTGGGTGTTCGAAAATGAGTTAAAGCCAACAAAAATTGTTCGTTCACGGAGTGTTGCAAAAAAAATGGTGGCCACGTTTGTCTCCAAAACCGGCCATGTTACGACTATTCCTCTTGAGGGACAAAGAACGGTTAATGCAGAATGGTATGCTAGCATTTGTTTGCCACAGGTCGTTTCTGAACTCCGTAAAGAGAACTGCAACCGCCGCATCATCCTCCATCAAGACAATGCGAGTTCTCACACCGCGCACAGAACAAAAGAGTTTTTAGAGCAAGAAAACATAGAATTATTAGACCATCCGCCGTACAGCCCCGACCTAAGCCCTAATGATTTCTATACTTTCCCTAAAATAAAGAATAAATTGCGTGGACAGAGATTTTCATCACCTGAAGAAGCTGTGGACGCCTACAAAACGGCCATTTTGGAGACCCCAACTTCCGAATGGAATGGTTGCTTCAATGATTGGTTCCATCGTATGGAAAAATGTGTCAAATTTCGCGGAGAATACTTCGAAAAGCAATAAATACATCTTTAAATAGTAATGTTGTGTCACTTCGTTAATTCCCGAAATTTTCAGTGCCGCCCTCATATATAAATCTACAGTGGTTTTTACGAATGTTCCAATATAACTACTGAACCATGCATCCGATTGACTTGAAACTTAATATCCATGTAGAAAATACATGTACTTAATGGATAGGCTAATATTTATATGAGTGTTGGACTCCCTAATAATAATTTTAATAAATAACAATGTTAATTTTAAATGCCCAGCGAAGCGGGCGAGTACGCCTAGTTATACATAAAAATAAGAATATAAATTACAATAAGACTTGACCTAAAGGTCCTAGTTACCAGGTCATAAATACCCTTAAAAATATCACCAATTATATCTATGTAGTTATAGTTAACTATAAACATATCTTTTTCAAATTCAACCTTACGCGCATTGTTTAAAGTTGTTATTACAAAGCAGTGTACAATAACCAATCAAATTTTACGACCGAAGCTAGCCAGCAGGACAAGACATGGAGTGAAAACGAATAATTGTATATTTTTTTTATTAAAAGACATTGAGTTAGTATTTTAAGTGTTAGTTAAATTGTGTTCTAAACCCTTAATAATTATATGTACTTTTATCTGAGCGTAAATATGTTTTTGGGTAGGACATATTGTGTACATCAATGAAACAAATATAAACTCTATCTGGAGTCTAATTTAAATATTTTCTTAAAACTTGTAATGTATCGTTAAGTGAATTTATCTTTTTAACAAGTCTAGAATTTTTCTTTCTTAAGTTGTTGATGACTTTATTCTTGCTAATTAGCACCTTAGCGTGTAGGTGGGTGGCGCATTTACGTTGCAGATGTCTATGGGCTCCGGTAACCACTTAACACCAGGTGGGCTGTAGGCTCGTTCACCCATCTAACCAATAAAAAAAATAAAAATCTCGCGTAAACCAATTAGCCTTTTACAGTTCGATATTAAATCGGAAAAGTGCATACTTTTTAAGTTTAAGCTCTCGTTTCGAGGAATAATCGGATAGAGCTGGTAATACTGCTATATTAGATAAATAGCGCTAAAAAACAGTATGGCGGCGGTCGTCGCGGCAACGCGTTGTAGCGCGCTATCGTTAATTCGCCTGCGATTATTTCGGCGCGCGCTCGACGCTCGCTAAATGCGTCAATGTCCGCCCGCAAAACGTTCATGCCGCTGTGGGACCACTTCGAGAAGTCGACTAGCGGCGATAAACTCGCCACCTGCAATTACTGCACGCGGAAGCTATCCTACAAAACGACCGTCACCAATTTGAAGATTCACTTGCAACGGAAACATCCGTATGTGTACGAAGTGTTTTTGAATTCGGACGGATTACAGAGGGCGTCGTCCGAGCCGCGAGAGGTGAGCAAGCTCGGCGCTAATTGCTATGTTATAACGCGTCTTAACGAGTCGGAGTAGCGCATGTAGCATTGCGACTGAGCAGCTGCTATTATTTTTTTTAA